AGCATAATTGATGATGGTGATAATATATTGTATACTATGATGAGTTTACAGCCAATAGTTATCATGCCAGTATTACTCAACGTCTCACAATTATCGGATTCTATATTATAATATAATATAATATAAATAAAATCGCATTTATACAAAATACCACGCACACACATACACACACACACACACACACACACACACACACACGTGCGCGCTCATGTTATATAATATTATTATACGGTCTTATCGGCACGTCCTCGTAATAATAATAATATATTTCATCCCCTGCCGCTACCGCTTCCTATTTGGAAGGTTTATTATCATACACCAATATATTATTATGTTATCTGTATGGAAACCGTTCGGCGTTCGGTGTCAACGAAGAACGAACCCTTTCCACGGGACCCAATTAAAATTTAATTTAGTCTTACTGCGGGGGCTTCCGCAGGAATGTATAGTAATACTCGTACTATATTTTAGGTAGGTAGGTACTTATATATATATATACTATAGTGGTATACACACATACATATTTTATTACTAAAAAAAACTACGATTAGTGTATTTTCCGTATAGTATAGTAGATATATATATATATATATATATATATATATATGTTTATATATGTACACAACACTATATTATATATTACACATTTACAGTATCAGTGACTTAATCGAATCGAGGTGAACGTCCACAAAAGTAATTCCGGATAAAAAATGTTAAATAGTTATGTAGACTTACAGGGTGATGGGTTGACGAGCATTCTTGTTTTGCCGTGCAGTCTGCTATGCAGCGAAATAAGATGGCCTGAGCCCTCCTGTATAACAGTTGCCTTTAGACAATATATAATTTATAATATTATGCGCACATTAAAATATTATATTGTAGTAACGTTGTCCATCGAAACGATAATACATTAATCAAACATTTTCGTGTGGGATCCAAATTATTGCCACAGACCACGTCTGATGTGTTTTTGGCACTCGTATATAATTGTATATAAAGGTAACAGGATAACATTAAAATATCAAGTCAATTTTTTTTTTTTGTAATGCCCGTAATCAATTATTCTGTTCTGCAGAATATTAAGTTTCGTTTGTTCGTTTATATAGGYAAGTATATACATATATATTGTATTGTATATTCTACACAGCTGTATTTCATTATTTACTATATAATTATTTATTATATATAGATATGATAAACTGAAATTTAAAAAATACGATAATTCTTTATAAACTTAACAGATRGCGTATATTTTTTAAATATGAGTTACATATTAATCATTATACCTACTTATAATTATATCTAGAGAACGCCTCGGTTATGCACTAAAATACTAGTCAAATATTTATATGAAAATATGCACATATTTGCATTACAAATTCAACTAAAGTATTAAATAATACTAAATATTATATAAGATATATCCACAAAAMATAAAATTTATTGTAGGATCTACTACTATTATATAATATAAGCTATTTTGGTACAAACACTTAAAATTATTTATGGTGGCACATTAAGTTAACCCATATCTACGACACATACCTAAATCACCTGTAGATATATAAATTGAAAAATATTTGTATAGACTATAGAGTTATTAACTTATAGATTGCTTCAATATAAATATTACTTATTGAAAAGAAAGATGTGATCTATACGCAGACTCACAAATATTTATTTTTTTTATTTTAATCACAAAAATACTTACCAATGTATGGAGTTTTTAAATACTTATCAAAATCTGGCCAAAACATACGAGTACGAGTAGACGAATGTTCTTTACGAGTAGACGAATGTTCTTAATAGGTATATCAAAAGTATGCTCTAACTTCTAAGAACCACCAAATCTCAAAATATGCAAATATATTCCGTATATAATTTTGGCGATATCATATTTTCATGAATAACGTTCCAGACGGCACAGACAATCGTATTTTTTACTTATACTTGGCAAACAATAAGATCAACCATAAAAAATATGAAAATACATGAAAAGTCTTGTACTATTTATAATTATGTAAATTAATTTTTAGTTAAATAAAAAACAAAACTACAAATTCATACAAAACATTTATACTTTATACTAATTTTCCTAATTATTTTTGTTAGTACTATGTAGAACATTGAGTCTCAACAATTTAAATACTGAATATTATATGACATTACTAAACGATTATTATGACAGAACTAATTAAAAGTTGTAAAATATGTATTTAATTACCACGTTATTTGGTGTAGGGTTATATTAACTTTGTAATATCTGCATATATATATAGTACATTAGTACCTAGTCCCATGATTTGCTATTTATATGTATGAATAATAATATTAATGTGTGGACAGTGGTAATAATTTGTAGATTTTATGTAACATTATAAAAATTGGACACTGTAATATTGTACTAGCATATATGTCACCGCTAGCTGTATAATTAAGTTAATAACATATATTAATATTATATGGATATTCAATACATATATATATATATAATATATACCTATATAGGAAACAACTTGTATAGGTATTACAACAAACCAGAAATATGTACCCACTTTACTATACAAATTTGTATAAAAAAAACCTTTGAACCATTTTTCAACCGAATAGATCCGATTCAGCAATGTAAACTTTTGCATACATGTATACACACTTCGGCTAAGTCCGACAACAATAACAATGGAGGTGATGTGTATAAATTATATACACGAAGAAAGTACGATGTGGGGCTGTCAACGAGCGAGTTGACATAAAGACACCACCTCCAAACGATTTCCATTCGTCGTTGGTGGAAATAACGAGATGTCATTGAAAAAAAAAACATTTCTAAACATTTCTCTCCCCTCACTTTTCCCCTTCGCCGTCACTATACCACCCTTGTATCTTTTCTTTCGCTCTACGCTCTCCGTTCTCCCTCTCTGTTCCTTTTTTTTTTATTCCGTATATTTCCCGACCGGAACGCATCGTCAATAGTTGTGCCCATTAACCTCGGCCAGTGTTTGTGTCGAACAAATGTTTTCTTTCCCAAGCACACTTCTTATGTGCATTGTTTATTTTGGATTATTTCGCCGATGTGGGGCACCTGTCCGTCATTCGTCACTAAAGTGTACACACACGCATACGCGCGGACAACACACGTTTTATTTCCGTCGCGATAGTTCAAAAAAAAAATAAAAACAACCGTATGCCATACATTTATGATATGTTATATAACAATATATAAGTAATATGTAAACGAAAGGAGAACAAGAGAGTATAGAGAGAGCGTGCAAGTGAGACCGAGAGAGTGGTGAAGGGTTAGTATAATATAAAAAARAGACGGCGTAATTGAGTGAGAGAAAGATATAAGGAAAAAAGTATTTATGACGTATACGTCTGCAAACAATGGACGCCCCCGTGCCATCCAGATGTCGATACTTGTGGAGAAAGGGGATATATAAGTTCCTGTAGCAAGTCCTGCACGACCATGTGCGGTGGTTAAATGACGTTTCCTGCAGCTCCTAGTGCACTAGTCCACCTAATAAGGAATAAATTACTGACCGTAAGTCAGTTTTTTCTTTATATATATATTTTTAAGCCGATGTAATAGCGGAAATAATACGGACACATGCGTACCTTTACATATAAAATATAATGTATTATAGTATTATCTATAAGACATGCGTGTGTGTGTACTCCATTCGTGCCAATTCGTTTATTTTAACGGTAGATTTTGGATCTCGATGTACACACATCGCTTGATTCAATTATTTAATATACTCGGGTGATCGTATACATTATAAGCTCATAATCATAAATTCGACTAGACTTAATTATCTCACCTAAATAATTAAGTATAATAGTATAATACAAGGCGCATTACGTATTTCATATACATAAAAAAAATTWAAAAATGTATAAATAGGTAATAATTATATTTTACATTTTTTTTACACAGGATTATGTAGTTTTAGCTTCAGTTTTAAACAATCATCACCTAAAAGTATATGCGTWGTATTAGTAGAACAATTATGCGAATAGTGATTTAAAGTTATTATCAATAACATAACATATTATAAATAATATAAAGATAGATTGCGAAGGTATAATCAATATTCTGAAAAAGAAAATAATAATTTATGGATTTGTTAGCTTATTAAATATACTTAATCTGAAATAGTTATGGACACTATAATAATTACATATCGTACATTATTATATATAATTGAAATTCATGATTACTTTTTCTTTGCAGAAGTCATGCAAGCCACAGATCTATCTTCATCGATGGAATCGCTGACTTACGAAACGTCCAGCTTGTCCTCACCCACAAACTCTTCGACGATGGGTACCACCGGTGGCATGACGCAGCAGCAACATCAGCAAACACGGACGAAACGCATGCGAACGTCGTTCAAACACCACCAGCTGCGTACAATGAAGTCGTACTTCAACATCAACCAAAACCCAGACGCCAAGGACTTAAAACAGCTGGCTCAAAAGACTGGACTGTCCAAACGAGTGTTACAGGTAAGACAAGATGGATTATGTTAATATCACAGTAACACTTAGACAATTATAACGTGAGCATTACGACGCGTCTCTCGTACATAATATAGGTTTGGTTTCAAAACGCTCGAGCTAAGTGGAGAAGAAACATTATGAGGCAAGAGAACAACCAAATGGTAACCAGTTCCATGTCGAACCAGAACCAGACTACGCCGTCCGACCCCGATCTCATCAGGGGACACACCCAGACCTCGCAGGGTTTAAACTTTGTCGATCTCTTTTGATTTAACATACATAAGTCGTAGCTATATATCTATTATTAAACCACAATCATCATCGTTACAGGATATAGGTTATAGGTATACTCTATGTCATCGTCGGTAAGTTCGACCAAGTATTAGGCCATTTGGCAGATCCAAAGTATCCAACATCAACACATTCGTCTCTTTGACCTGTCCCTATTTACCATTTTCTTTTAAAATTCAATAGATAAAATCCTGGTGACAATGATATTCATGGCCGTGTCCTACTACTATACGTTATACGGACTCGTGTTACAACTTATACAGTTATTGATCGTCTCTACGCGCATAATTCAAATATTATGTAGGAGAATGATATCAATACAATATATTATATTATATTACGATATTCTTACCAAATTATTTGTGACGTGGTATGTTAATATACGTATGTTGCTATAATACGTAACCACGTGTAAATTTTAATTAGTATAATATAATACGTTTAACTGTTTAAGTGCTTATTCGTATAAGAAAGAGAAAACAATTGTTCCTTAACTTAATGTATTATTATTACACTCTTATATATATTTATTATAAGTGTGTATGTATAATATGTAATCCGTACATATTATTACTAATTAATTAAGTTTAAAACATATTATAAATTATTATATTATGTTAAACTCGTATGTTATTTGAGCTACCTATTCGCGTGCGGCGTATACTCAAAGGTCGCTAAACACTCGCAACTAATTGTATATGTTTTCTTTTGTGTTTGAATAAAAATTGAATAGATGMCCTAATTAGTAATTAGTATGTACGGCTTGTAAAAAATTAAGTATACACCGCACGGCAAACACTGGCAACGATAATACGTACGCGTACACGCCTTGGCTGAGAAGTTATTTAAAAAAACCCCTCTCGCCCCACCGTTTAATCCATTTTTTTTTTTTTTTAATAAATCTAATAATTTAAACATAATGTTTACATTCGTAATTTTGTGTATCAAATGGTCACAACATAAATCAGTAATTATAATCGTGTACAAACAAATTCAATATAAATATAAAAACGTTTATACATAAAAAAAAAAAAATTAAATTAAATTAAAAAAATTCAAACAAAAGTTATATAAAATGATAAATTAAAAATATAAAAAAAAATTTTTAGAGTATCATATTATTATTATTATTACTTAGTTCAATTATCAAACAATTATTTCCGGTTTTAAATAATAATAATAATATACTATCGTAATCAGTCTACGAGAACCATTAATTTATTTATTTTTTTTTATTAACCTCGTTTTCATGAATTTTTTTAATTTAATGAGAACCATTAATTTATTTATTTTTTTTTATTAACCTCGTTTTCATGAATTTTTGTTTGTATGAGTATGGACCAAGAGTAATAATGGGAATGCCTATGATAAAGTAAAACATTAAAAATAATTGAACATTTTAATTTTTTCGTGTAATCATGTAGACAACGTAAAAAGGAAATATTTAGTTATGTGAAAAATATAGCTTCAAAGCCAAAGGTACTGTAACATAAACTATTTATGTATATTATAAGAACAAGACGATTGTTATAAGTAAATTACTGTTATTGTTCTGGACAATATCTTTATTATTGCTTACAACACATGCAAATAAGCTATTCCAAAGCAATTKATCTTATTAAATTCTAGTCAATTTATTATTAAGCATATTAACTATATATTATATCAAATTTAAAAACAACAAAAATATTAAATATATATATATATATATTATTACCTAGCGAATATTTTAGCGTTTAATAGTATGTAGATCTGATTAAAATTACATTATTGTAATAATATACTATTATATTATTATATACGTGTGTATTTATATATTACAATGGCGATAAAAAAAATGTTCTTTTTTGTTGAAAAAAATATATGTATATAAAAAAAAATAAAAAAATATTCCAATAACTTAAACAAAAATGTTTTTTATATATATGTGTATACATATCATGTTTATTACCTATATACTTATTCCTTTTAACATACCTATTATTCTTATTAACGTGTTTTATTTTAAGAGCTTAAGTGTGTATACATATACGTCATATTCTTTGGTAAGCACTAATTTACTCAAAATTAACTATTTCAGGATTTTGCAAATATTTATTTCAGATAATTTAAAATAATAATATTACAAAAAAAAAAAATGTTAAGTTATTTTTTACTAAGTTATCATAATATGGCAGCATACATTTTAATTTCATATTTTTAAGTAGAATAATTTTCCTAAGTATGAAAATGAAAAATATATTAAAATACTAAAATATATATTAAATAAATATACTTATAATATTTATATATTTATTAATATTAATATTTATCTCAATATATTTAAACATGTATTAAAATTTAAAATACATAAAAAAAGTATATTTTCAAATTCAAACAAGCAGTTAATAAGTTATAAGTTGTAACACTGATACTCGTAACTAAAAGTATTAAAAGTATATTATTAATATTATTATTATTATTATTAAAAGTATATTAGGACTTTGAAAGTCAAATTTTGTTTGAAAGGAAAACAGCCAGCCACTTCACCAGCTCATCAAAACTTTAAACAGGTAGGTACTTATAAATAATTAATTAAGTGCTCGTTTGAAATTTGATTTTAGATTCTGAGCAGAGCTAGGAATGTATTGGTTTTACAATGATGTTTATTTCTTTTTCTTTATATTTTTTATTCTGTAAACACTTTTTCTCCCTCTAAAGTTGCTCAAAAGTATCAAGTATAACATTTTTTCTGAAAGGTAATGTTCTTAATCTGGTACTTTAAAGAGGTCATTTTTCGATTTTCGAAACGGTACTCGAAATAAAAGGGGTTAAAGGAGAAAAAAGTACTTTTTGACGATTTTATAATATTAAATAATTACGGACGACGTTTTCTACCATAAATATTGCTTCTAATGAAAAATGACAAGAGTTCTTTTATATTTTGGATTTTGTTCCTTATTGTTAAGCACGGAAAATGTTGGAGCTATTTTAGAAATTTTGGGAGTTTTTTTTTGTTGTAATTCGGTTAAAAATATTYGTAAAAACTTGAAATTTGGGTTGTTTACTTATATTATCCTTACCTAGACATGGTAAAATGTTCAAAACATTTGAGTTACTTTTTAGCTTTTTCTTTTATTTTATATTTATTTTTCATTTTTATGATATTTCCTAACTATAATTTTATAATTACATATTTTTGTAAATCGCTCTTAAGCTGTTCTTATAACGTTTTGTTTATCAGCATAGAAATGAATAAAATTAAATAAAAAAAATTCCCTAGTCCGCTCAGAATCGTTTTTATCGAATGCAATCATTGCATTAAAAATTGAATACAGTAAAATTACACCATCCTGTTCGAGGACCGAAGATACGATGAACAAACATGCACCACCGAAATGCTGACCTACATTTTTTTGTATTGAATTTATCAAAAAAATATTCTGCATAGAAACATAAAAAATGTACGCTTAGCGATTCAAATAATATAAGGTCCTAAAAAAAAAAATGACAACGAAAATGGCGAAAACGTTTTTTTCACTTCGATAAAATGAATGATCACCTTTAAAACGTCACCTTATATACAACACCATTGATATACTTATTTTGTACGCATAATAATATTTTATAATCAATGATTCTTGTGGACTCAGCTGAGAACAGTTCAAAACGTCATTACGCGACTATCGATAACGTATTGTTTCGAACGAAAACGGGCGTGAGAACCGTGTAGTATAGTTATTCTCCTCTACGTATATAATATTATAATACCCTATACATAATAATATTACCATACTACACAAACGACGACTCTCTGTTCGTCGGTAAGATTCTACGTCAAGTCGTCAAAGCATATATTATTATTATACCAGGATCGGTTTATTAATATATATAATATTGATCTCGGACGTTATTGGTAATTATATTATGTAGGTATAACAATAATATCCTAAATTCATAACCATTTCAAGGAACTTGAATTATTTAATATTAAATTATTATTTTTTGTTTGAGTATAGCAATATTATCATTGTATAATGTACATAATATACGGATTATTGTTTGGTGCAACGTCTGGATTTTGAGTTTAAAAATGATTAACGCAGATGTTTTGATTTTTTATCCTCACTAGTCACTACCCATATTAATAAATTTGTATTTTTAAGATTTTTTAGTTCTTATTAAATCATATGTATACATTTTTTTTTTTATTTCAATAATAAATAGTCCGCAGCAACTGTGGCCATCGAACGCTAAATTATTTAATGTTCTTAAAAGTTGTCCAATTATTATTTTAAATCACATTTTTAAATACAATTAATAATGACCTGACATATTTTTTTACTCTTGACGTTGTATATAAATAATTGGCGTCTTGGATATATATTTTAAAACAATAAGTATGCCTAATAAACATTTATATTTTTTTTTCACATTCAATATTATCATTAAAATACATGAAGACATCCACTATTTTTAATTTAATTAGAAATAAATTAACCCGTATAATTATTATTTGCATAATGTTTTAATTTATTGATATTTTTTATAATCAATTAAATTCGACCGATCTTTTGGACTTCTTATTAGGTACCTATAATTAAACTGCGTGTAATGTTTTTTTTTTATCACACACGAAGTTCCAATTTTTCGAAATCAAATCGTTATAGTCGGTTGATTATATGATATTATGATAAAAATAAACAGTTCAATATCTCAGAAAATTCGAACTGCAATGCTCACGCATAATTACATAAAAGTTTGTTACATTTTTCTTTGATCATCTACATACTCGCGGTCTGCATTGTATACAGCTGTTGATCATAACACCATGGGATTTAACAATATTAGGTATATACTTATTAAATAAGATGATAATATATCTTATTTATATAGTAATAAGTAAGGTACATTATGTTTGATAAGATATTTATCGATGAAAAAACCACCCTGTATGATATACGCAGTCCGTGTCATTATGCCAATATTATAATAAATATAAAATTTTAACGGCGATTATTATGGATTCCCAACGCGCTCTCTGCTCCTCTGGCCTCTACCACCGTCTACCCGTAGAGACACTTACCGTAMCTACACCCACCCTTTGTCGTACCGCTCGTACCCGTGTAGGACTGTAACATACGCATTCGAGGTGCCTACAYCACCGCTAGCGAGAACCTACATGGCTGTAACGCCATGTGTGCAGATATTATAATGTTATAGCACTCCAGTAAACGTTATTATTCTTATTAATATTCTTTATTGTGTTAAAAACTCGAGTGCCGCGGCGTGCCCAAGCATTCGGGTCGCGCCCCCGTATATAATAGTACCTACGTGATTTTCCGTGTGAACACCTTTGCATTGACGAATCTATGACAATCTTGTGTTATATTTAAAAAAAAAAACATATATATAAAATAATCGTTATCAGACGACCATTGCACAATAATACCCGTTATCTCCACGCTCTTATATCTACGCGCGTTCCGTCTGAACCTACGCCATTCATTTTGCATATTATTATAACAACAACAATAAAAATGTAATAATATTTCGTGTCACACGGTCTTGGCGGCGGCGCGGCGGTGA